ACATTTTCGGCACATTTAAGCGCTTTTTGAGCTTTCGCGATCTTTAGCCGACGATTTCTTCCTTATTATTGACCCAAACACTTTATAAATGCATATTTCTGTCCTTCTTACATCGAAAGGAATCGATTGAGGTCAAAAAACACGCATGTGAAATTTTGATTTTTGGTCGAAATTTTTCCAAGGGTGGAAGTCGATTTTTTGAAAAAATAAAAATGTTTTTAAAATGCCTTAAATTTCAGATCATTTTTAGCTCATAGACGCGAGGAATGCATCGAACTCATTAAAAAACATGCTAGAAGTTTCAGATGCGAAATAATAGACATTTTCGGCACATTTAAGCGCTTTTCGAGCTTTCGCGATCTTTAGCCGACGATCTCTTCCTTATTATTGACCAAAACAGTTTATAAATCCATATTTGTGACCTTCTTATGTCGAAAGGAATCGATTGAGCTCAAAAAACACTCATGCAAAATTTTTCCAAGGGTGTGGGTCGATTTTTTGAAAAAATAAAAATTTTCTCAAAATGTCTTAAATTTTTCATCATTTTTAACTCACGGACGCGAGGAATGCATCGAACTCATTAAAAAACATGCTAGAAGTTTCAGATCCGAAATAATAGACATTTTTGACACATTTAAACGCTTTTTGAGCTTTCGCGATCTTTAGCCGACGATTTCGTCCTTATTATTGACCCAAACACTTTATAAATGCATATTTCTGACCTTCTTACGTCGAAAGGAATCGATTGAGCTCAAAAAACATGCATGTGAAATTTTGGTTTTTGACCGAAATTTTTCCAAGGGTGGGGGTCGATTTTTTGAAAAAATAAAAATTTCCTCAAAATGTCTTAAATTTTTCATCATTTTCAGCTCACGGACGCGAGGAATGCATCGACCTCATTAAAAAGCATGGTAGTAGTTTCAGATCCGTAATAATCGATATTTTCGGAACATTTTAAGCGATTTTTGAGCGTTCACGTTCTTTATCCGACAATTTCTTCCATATTATTGACCCAAACACTTTATAAATGCATATTTCTGACCTTCTTACGTCGAAAGGAATCGATTGAGCTCAAAAAACACGCATGTGAAATTTTG